GGAATGTAAGCTATTACAACCACTATGGAAAACAGTATGGAGGCTCCTTTAAAAACTAGAAATAGATCTGCCATATGATCCTGCAATACCCCTCCTAGGAATATACTCAAAGGAATGAGTCAGGTTACTCCAGAAGCACCTGCACACCCATATTTATCGCAACACTATTCACAGTAGCCAAGCTATGGAAACAGCCAAGATGCCCCACCACTGATGAATGGATTAAGAAAATGTGGTACTTATACACAGTGGAATTTTACTCAGCCATAAAGAAGAATGAAATTTTGTCATTTGCAGGTAAATGGATGAAATTGGAGAATATTATCTAAAGTGAATTTAGCCAGGCTCAGAAGGCCAAAAGCTGCTTGTTCTCCTCATATGCGGATTATAGACCTAAAACAAATGCAGCAATACTATGGGACACAAGTCACACTAAGGGGAGGCTGTGCAAAGGAGGGATGGGGCAAGGAAAGGAAACCAAGAGCTTAAATGAGGTTCCTGTACAGGAATGAATATAGAAATTTTAAACTGGCCAGGGCCACCATGGGAAGTTGAAGTCAAGAGGAGTGAAAAGGGCTGTAAGAAGGGAATCAACTGGAGCTCTAATACACATATACATGGGAACAACACAAGGAAACTACCTGTGTAGCTATCTTTGCTCAAACTAGCAAAATGTCATGTTTCTCTTTATCTTTTAGGTTTTTCTTCTGCAAAAGATAAAAGGCAGAGAATCAACCAGAACCAAACTCTGTGACATCCTGGACCCCTAACCCATAGAAAGCCTCTCTATTCTATGCCCCAGCATGCTGAACCCAGTCCCAGGAAGTATCTGCCTTGAGAAAAGCAGCATGCCATTTCTCCCTGCTGGCCCGTTTTAAAGCTGCCCTTGTAAACCTGCAGACCCAACAGGTGAGCAACATACACCACCCACAATTCCCCTACCCACTCCCCAGGAACATAATCTAGCTCAGACCCTGGGCTAGATTGAACCCACCCAACAAAACTGAAAAGCATAAACAGTGGGGGTGGGGTGGAATGTTGAACCTGCCCCCTGGAGAGCAGGGCTAGGGCATGGAGCCAAATCTCAGTGAATGAAGGCAGGAAAATTCACAAAGGCTGAAAACAGGGGTGGGGCAACAAGTCAACCTCCCACAGTGGGGCCATAGTGGATGGCTGAGATAATCTTGTGGGACTGATAGTTATACTCAAAATGGAATTGCTTGGGGAGGAGCTGACCAGCCAGAGTTGCAGTTGTAGAGCAATGCAGCTGCTGCCTGGTGAAAACAAAAACAAATCTGGCCCCTTGTACAAACTCAGTGAGTTACCTCAGGTCCCAGTTGCTACTTGCTCTGTGGACAGAAGGAACCAAATGCTGCTCACAAGCCAGTCACCTGGTGAGACCACTTCAGGGCTCCCACTTTCAACCAACAGCCCATAAAACCAAGGAAAGCAGAAAAAAAAGAACCTTCCAGCTATCTCCACCCCAAGCTGTCTGACAAGAGGGGCAGCACCCTTTCCCACAAAACCCAGATTGGACACCAAAGGAATAAGTCCAGAACTTTTGAACTTTTTATTGTTGCTGTACCTGGGGTTTTTTCTGTATTAGTAACCTTACCATCACTACTTTTTTATACTTATTCTTACCCCCTTCACTTTCCCTCCTTTTCTTGTGCTATAATCCATTGTTCTCCCCCCAACTATTCTTTCTGTGCCTTCTCATCCACTCTCTCCATCTTCGTCCCCCCTCCTACCCTTCCCCAATCTGTCACCATGGCACCCTTCTCTCCTACATACTCACCACCCACTGACTAGCCTACTGCACCAACTGTATCTCTGACACAAGCAACCTCCACTACAACAGCGGACATACACCCAAATATGTACAAAGGCCACAAAACCTAGAAGTTCCTATACCTCTTCTCCCACCCATCCACCCCTTTCAAGCCTGCTTTTTAGTGCCACCTTTACCAATTACCCAAGTTTCTGTTTCTAGCCAAGCAACCATTATGCTCCCAACTCCCACTGTTTATAGATAATATCACCAATGGGTTTTCTATATGATAGGGAAACAACTGGTCTGGCATTGAATCTGTAAATTTGATATTGCTAATTTTCATCTCCAGGCCAGGGACAGAAATAGCGCATCAACCTATCTAATAACTAAGTCAGTCACAGCACAAAAATTTAATCAAGGGAAGGAAAATAAGCAATTAAAACCACCAACTAGCCTATCATGAACATAGTTGCACAGCACCAATTGCAGCAATGGAGAGAAGGGAAGGAAACTATACTCCTCAACAAAACAATTCAATGGAGGATTTAGTGGGAAATGAAGAAAATGGATACCCAGTTTCTGACTCCAACAAAACAATGATAAACATCATGAATGAGCCCAGTAACACCCACAAAAAATCCCTTAAAGATGAACTCATGGAAGAGGTCACTGAGAAACTCATGGAGAAGATACTAGACAAAATAAACCAGAAAGTACAAGATTCACTCAAGAAATTTCAAGACATTACAAATAAAGAACTTCAGAAGACACAGAAGCAAGTAAATGAACTCAGAGAGGACTTCAACAAACACCAAAGTGAAACAAAGGACACTATAAAAAGAGAGATATGAAATGAAGAAGACACCACAAAATATGAAAGAGGAGTTGAACAAAGATATGGAAAACCTCAGAAAAAAGAATCAAACAGAAATACTGAAAATAAAAAGTCCCTTTAGTCAAACAAAATCACAGTGGAGGTCACTCCAGCAGACTAGAACAAGTGGAAGACAGAATCTCATAGCTTGAAGATAATACACAAATTAAAGAAAAAACAGAAGAACTCTTAGTTAAACAACTCAAGAGCTATGAAAAAAAATGTTAGACCAAATGACTAGGATAGCATAAGTAAAGATCTCAACTTCTATTATGTTTACAAAATCTCCATCGATGAATTTTTCAAAATCACTTGACAGCCTCAATGAACTGTGGCTTGGGAAGCAATGAAGTGGTAAACATCATCCATCAGAAGTGGAGCGGCATTGGTACGAAATGTACCAATCTTCATCTGAAAATCTGAAATATGTCAGATGAAATCCTTGGTTATGGCATAAATAGGGGTTAAAGGTTTTTTTTCTTTTAATTGATCTTTCATCACTCCTACCTGTTACATGGAAAATGCATTGATGAGCTGGAGTGTGCTAAAAGATAGAATTTTGTTTTAGAGGAAAGAAAAGGTATGTTCATGCAGAAAAGGAAAGCAGATTTGGATAATGGGTAATACTTCATCTTGGTAGAAACGAATGAACACTATGTATTTTTGTATGTATAGGCATGGCAGATTTATTCTCCCATTTTTCAATAATGACACCACGATTTTCCATGGAGAAACCATACTTCTCCATCTTAAACAATCTTGGTGCATGACCCTCTCATGGCCAAAGTGATCAGGTCAATGATGATCATGTGATGTATATCAGTCCAGTGAGATTTGATCCTAAGGCTTTCATTAAAACTCAAAACAGAGAAACTATCATTCTATTGAGGTTTCTGAAACCATAAAATGTAGACCTTGTGGCAAAGTATGTAAGCTGGTGACAAGATTATATGATAGAATCTGCTTGAATCATGGCACTAGAGAGAAACTGAGCTTTGTAGTTGAAGATAAGGGCCTAATGATGCCTCTGGATCCAGACATACCCTTAGGATTTTTCAATGACTTGATTCATCTAAATTGGATTATGATCATTTGCAACCTGTATCTCTAATGAAATCCATGCTTGAACAATACATAGTGATATGTTAGACACAACCAAAAATCATGAAAAATACCCAAAGGCCCACAGTAAATTATTCTAGTGAAATAATAATAATCTACATAACCATTCTCTTCTATGTGACCAACCCTAATCTCTCACAATTATGAACCAAAGTCCTTCTGTTCTGAGCACTCAAGATCTGGCCCAGCTCTGTCCTTGACATCATGAAGGCTAGTGTGAAATCAAGATCACAATTCAGCTGTGATGATGAGATATTAATATTTGAAATACTTGCATAATAGTTTAAGTGATTATACACCAAATATGATTTATCAGACAGTAAAGGTTAGAGACATTCCCATGTAAGATCACATAGCATAGAGGAAAGGGGACTATCCAAGTAAATTGTTTAATAAATTCCCTCTAATCATTCTCATTAATCCTGTTGAAAGTTGGTGTTTCACAAATAAGATCTATAAACAATTTTTTCTAACTTTATAATCCGTAAAAAGAAACTACTACCAGATTTTAGTGCTTCATGCACAAAGTGGCTCAGTATGATATGCAAATTTAAATTGATTCAATTAAAGCATTTCCAAGCAATTGTAATATAAAGTTTAGTAACATTAAGACACAATGAAATACTGTGGGAAATGGTTTAAAATAGCAGCCGATATTAAGCACTACTCTGGTTATCATTATGGTTCTGTTCTCTTAAGACAATAATTCAGTTGCTAACATAGATGTAAGCAGGTTATACTAAGGCTTTGAGTCAAACAATGATCCTACTTTCTTGCAACTTTAAATCCTTTAAGTCTCTGGTCAGTTCTTCTTGGATTACCAAGAGGATCATCAGTCATTTTCCTGGCAGTAAAGTTTTGCTTTAGTTCTTTGGTATGGTACAAAATTCTGTTGCTGTATCCCTTCCTCTTAAGCATCGGTAAATCCAGTTTTGGGAAACAAACTCAAAGGTATGTACCAGAGACATCCCAAAGAAATGGGACCACATCTCAGTGGTCTCTGCACCACTGTCCTACACTTCCTCCTTTCACAGACACACTTGCAATGAATAAGGCTGCAGATTGTTCTCACACATTGTAGGTTGAGCCAAGACAGTTATTTCCCAAATACCCAAGAACATAATTATTTCTAAGCATTTTCATAGCAGTCAGTGTGGTTCAAACTGTTCACAGCTGAAAAGGAAGCCTTACTCCCAGCTTATGAAACACAAAAGGCAAATGGAAACTTACTCTGTGGAACTGAAAATGCCAGATGATTTAATGTCAGGATGAGACAGACCAAATAAAATTAGTTGTAAGGTCTTCTGAGACTGAGGAGAAATGGGAAAACTTAATGAAAATTAGAAATCAAGCTAGTGAACACATGCAAATGCAGTAGTAGTCATTCCACCAATAGAAACTATTACTGGAAATTGGGGGAGGGTTGCTGAATAAATCCAATTATTCTCTAACACATAGAGGAAAGATTTCTGAAACTCAGCTGAAGGATCAGAACCCATAAATACCTCAAAACAAAATCTCATAGGAATGAAGTTAGCAAAGATATGCAAACTTGAACATATCAAATGTAGCTATATAGTCTTAAAGGAGAACAACAGAAAGAGGCCATGGGTACAGACACATACACATACCATGAGCATGTCATTCATTTGTGAGACACCTGTCATTCATTCTAGTGCACATTCACTCATTAACATCAGTTATGTAATAAAGATTTTGCTAGGTAATTGAAGATTTATCTATATTACCTTTCTAATGTTAATATCTTAGCAATTTTTTTTAGAAAACTTCATCAGTGTCAATAGGCCATGCACAAAGACATAGCTCTCAAACCAGTGGTTCACTGATTTAGGATTTCAGAGAACAGTGTGATTTCAAAAAAATATTAAAATAAATAGATATAGATTGATACAGGAGTGCCAACTTTTCATTTTGAAAATGAAAGGTGTTATAAAATAATTGCTATGTTCTCTGTCATTTTCTTTATTTTTTAACAACAATAGGAAGGTGAAGCTCTCAGAATGAAAGATAATTTCCCAAGTAACAACTACTATAGTCTTCTATACCATATTTCCTTATTTATCAAACACTTATATAGTGATTATAGTGTACCAGGTATAACTTTTAGTGCTTTCCAAAGTTACTCATTTAATATTCACAACACCCCAACATAGGCACCATTATTATGCTTACAGGTAAGAAAACTGAAAACAGACAAATTAATTAAGTTGCATGGTCACATAGCTATTATAGGACAGTTAGACCTAGACAGTCTGGTTCAAGTTGGTGATCTTAACCATTCCCTTAAATGACATGCCACCTCTCTATACAAATTCACATTACTTTTTAGAAATAGTTCTCTTGAGATACAATTCACATACCTTTTGAAGTATACAATACAATGGTTTCAGAGTTAGGCAACCATTACCATAATCAATTTTATAAAATTCTAAATCTATATTCATTAGCAATTACTTCTCATTTGCTCCAAATCTCTCAGCCATAGGCAGCTACTAATCCACTTTCAATAGATTTGTCTATTCTGAACAATTCATATAAATGGAATTTAATATATCATATTTTGTGATTCGATTCTTTCACAAAGCACATTTTCAAGTTTCCTCCATGTTTTTGCATGTATAAATACGTTGTTTCTTTTAATTTCCAAGTAATATTCCATTTTATGGATAATGCTGAATTTTTTTTATCAACTAATTGGTTGATGGACCTTTGAATTGCTTCCATTTTTTAGTTCTTTTGAATAATGTTGCTATCAGCTATCAACATTTAGGTTAAAATATTTGTATGGACATATTATCATTTCTTTTGGGTATATAGCAGAAAATATTAAGAACTACTGGGTCATATTGTAATTCTATGTTTAACATTTTCAGAAACTACAAACTTTTTTCCAAGAAGTTGCAGTACTTTATTTTTCCAAGACTAATTAATGAGGGTTTCAGTTTCTTCCTTTCTGAGAAGAATTTGTGAAGAACTGGTGTTAATTCTCTAAATTCTTGTTAGAATTCACCAATGAAGCCATATGAGTCTGAGATTTTCTGTGTTGGAAGTTATTAAATCACTAATTTAATTGCTTTACATATTATAAGTCAATTCAAAGTTTTACTTCATATTGGGTTAATTATGGTAAATTTTTGTCTTTCTAGGATTTTTTCCATTTCATCTAAGTTATCTAATTTGTTGACAAATAATTGTTCCTTTCACTTGAAGAACTTCCACGAATATTTCTTTATAAGCTAGGTTGGCTAGCAACATAATCTCTCAATCTTTGCTTACTTGAGAATATCTTTACTTTAAAAGAGTTTTGCTGGGTGTAAGAATCTTGGTTGACCTTTTTTGTCTTTCAGCTTTAACAATACAGTGAAATCTTGGAGAGATGCTGGAGACACACCTTGCAGGCAAACCACGGAGAAGAGGCAAAATTTTGACCCCTCCACACCTCCAGCCAGCGCAGAGCATCTCCACTTCACAGTAAATGGAAAAATCAGGAGGGCCCCCAGGCCACCAGCCGCCCGCACCCAGATGGCTTGGGAAGACGTGGACAAGGTAAGCTTAGCGGTACCGCAGTATTCCCACAGACAACCCGGGCCAGAGCAGCATAGCCCCCTGGACAGACCAACCTCCACCCAGGGAAAAAAAGAGAAACTGACTAATAAGCAATAAGAACAATAAAGACAGGAGGGAAAGAGGGTGGGGTGCACTGAGCGCCAAAGATTGGGGGAAGGGAATCCTTCCTGGGACTGTAAATAAATAAGCCGGGCGGGCCAGAGAGGCTCCTGCAGGAGCAGGGGCTCGTGCCCAGCAACCAGGAGTGGGAAAGCTTGTGAGAGTGGCAGAGGGAGGAAAACTCCACAGGAAAGAGGGGAAGACCCACTTCCCACATGAGCTGTAAACAAACATGGCGGCTGGCAGGAGCAGCAGCAGGGCCCAGTAATCACGAGCAGGAAAGCTTGTAAAACTGGTGGTGGGAGGAAAACTCCACAGGAGAGGGGGGAAGACCCACTTCCCATGTGAACTGTAAACAAACATGCAGGCCTGAGAAAGCAGGTGCAGTGTCACCTTCCACAGTGTCCTTGGAAAGGGGAAAGCTTGTAGCAGAGGCACACGCACAGGAAACTCTAAGTAAACAAAGCCTGCAGGGCAAGGTGAGTGCTAAGCTCACCCCTGAGATCTGCATAAATAACACCTCCAGCAACAGAAGGCTGACAGCAGTGGGCACGCAAGCCACACCCCAGATACCATTCACAGAACTGTCTCCAGACTCTTTTTTTTTTTTTCTCTTTCCCTACCTTTGATGAGAAAACAAATGAACAATACCTGCATGCTGAAAAACTTACTGAAACTGTATTGCATTTGAACTTTGGACACTTTGTGGGTTTTTTTGTTTTTTGTTTTGTTTTTGTTTTTGTGCAGTTTTGTTCTACTTTATGCATCCCCTTTGATGAGACAACTACAGAACAACATCTGAGGCACCATCTCCAGGATTGGAGACTGAGACAGACACCAAAATTATTAAGACTGAAACTTCATTGCATTTGAACGTGGAGGGCTTTTTTTTATTATTATTGTTTTTATTTTTTATTTTCTCTTTTTCATTTTATTTTATTTATATATATATTACTTTCATTAACTTATTTTTTATTTTATTCTTATATTTATTCTTTTTATTTTTTATTTTCAATCCTCTCTGTGTCTCTCTAAGGCCTGTTCAGCTTACTGTTGATTAGTACACTAATGCTTCCTGTTTATACCTTTGAAACTTTCTTCTTTTGTTTTTCCCTACCTGTCTGTTTGTTTTTCCCTTTTCTTTAACTTCTTGCTTTCCATCTCCTCACACACTTCCATTCTAAATATTACCATTGATATTATTACAAGCTAGAAAATACTTAATTGCACACAGTACAGGGACAGTAACAACACCAAGGGCAATGACTGGAAGACAGAAAAAAAAGGGAAACCAGTTTCATCACAGCAAAAAATTAGTATAGGAACCAGAGGGAAATGACAAAAACAGATACTCAGATCCAGACTCCAACAAAATGAAATAAACTACGCCAAAGAACCCAATAAAGCCCACAAGAATAATTGAAAAGAAGACATTCCACAGGTACTGAATGAGAATTTTATAGAGATGATACTAGATATGGTCAACCAAAATGTACAGAGACACTCAAGAAATTCTAAAACAACAAAAAAGGAGAATTTGAAAAAGCAAAAGAAGAAATAAAGGAAACGATAGAAGCACTGTATAAACACCAAAGTGAACCAGACAACATGATTAATAAACAGATAAATGAACTCAGGACAAAAATAGACAACATTAAAGAGGAAAGAACCCAGGACATGGAAAACCTCAGAAAAAAGAAAGAAACAGAACTGCAAAACAAAACGGAAGGCCAATATAGCAGAATAGAACAAACAGAAGACAGAATCTCAGAACTTGAAGATGAAATGGTAATTAAAGGAAAAACCAAAGAACTATTAATTAAACAACTCAAGACCTGTGAAAAGAAAATGCAAGAACTCACTGACTCCATCAAAAGACCAGACTTGAGAATCATGGGCATCGAAGAAGGAGAAGAGGTGCAAGCAAAGGGAATGCATAATATATTTAACAAAATAATAACGGAAAATTTTCTAAATCTAGAGAAAGATATTCCCATACAGATGCAAGAGGCCTCCAGGACACCAAACAGACCAGATCAAAATAGAACTACCCCACGATACATCATCACTAAAACAACAAGTTCAGAAACTAGGGAAAGAATATTGAAGGCTCTAAGAGACAAAAAACAAGTAATATACAAAGGTAAGCCCATCAAAATCATACCAGACTTCTCAACAGAAACATTAAAAGCAAGAAGAGCAAGGGGGGAGATCTTCCAGACACTGAATGAAAATAACTTCAACCCCAGGATACTCTACCCAGCAAAACTATCATTCAAAATAGATGGAGCAATAAAAGTCTTCCATGATAAGCAGAAACTAAAACAATATGTGACCACAAAGCCACCACTACAAAAGATTCTGCAAGGGATTCTGCACACAGAAAGTGAAACCCAACTTAACCATGAAAAGACAGGCAGCACCAAACTACAGGAAAAGAAAAAGCAAGACAGTAGAGAGTAACCTCAACTTAGGTACACACAATCAAACCTTCAAACAACTAAGACAACTAAATGACAGGAATCACCACATACCTATCAGTACTAACACTTAATGTTAACAGACTTAATTCACCCATCAAAAGGCACCACTTGATGAAATGGATTAAAAAGGAAGATCCAACAAT